TCAAAAAAAGTTCATGCATAATAAAATGCCATAGCAAGGCACCAACCCAACACAGTTAAGTAGCATAAATTAGGTCACATCCGACCCCGATAAACATCTGCACCTAGCCAAAGTTGATAACTACCCCAACGGGCAAACTTAAATAGAGCAATGCGACATGGATTTAAAAAGTAGACTTAAAAATTAGACTTGATAATCTCAACCATTAATTTCACTGTAGATCCCAAAATTTATTGAGACCACTACCTATTCAATAGTTTAAATTATCAAGTTTAATTTTTAAAAATCCCTAGCATTACTCTGAAAAATATGTCCACCTTAATAAAATCACAAGCAATTTTGTACACCTCCTCATTGCCGTGTTGCATAGAAAGGCCTTCAATCTTAGGAAATTCAACAAGTTTGTTTCTGTGTGCTATTGCTGCATCTTGCTCATACCCAACCCAATAGACAATACTTGCCAATTGGTTTCCACTGTTCTCCACATAGGCACCAAACACCTTAATCATTTGTCCAAGACTTGTCGTCATTGCATCCATCAAAACATTATCTTTTTTCTTCCTTTGTTTTCGACTTTGAGGAATGACGGTTGCATTGTCCATGCTTTGAGTCACACATTGAGATACCCCTCCATCTTCCATCATCCCAACTGACAATACATCACCAGTCAGGTTACCACCTTCACCTGCATTCTCAGATTCCATCTCCACAAAGCCTGTAGCATACTCACCAGTTGCCCTGTCCTAGCCACATATAATACCCCAATCATCAAAGAACGCTCATGATTTATCCTGTATTCCCTTCGCATTCTTGTCTTTCTACAATTGCATTACATTATGAAGTTTAACAATATAAACACTTTTAAGCAGATTAACAAAATACAATATAATAAAAAATTACCTTTAGGTACTCAACCCAAATGTCTTCACTTTTAGCTAGACCTAATGGTCTTAAACTGATCTAATAGAAAACTAACCTTGACTCACGGGATCTATAACAATGATTCTTGATGCAAAAATCTCCACGAGAAGAATACCAAGAATACTGAATATAATCACGAACTTGATTCGCAGTAGATTGCAGATAGATTTTTCCTAAAGTGAGAGATACTGTTGATGATGCACAAAATTGATTTTCACACCACCTGTCAATTAAGTAGTATAAAATGCAGTAAGATAAGTAGAGGTAAAGAGAATATAAGGTTTATAGTGGTTCGGTCAACGTAACTTACGTCCACTTTGAATAGCAAGGGTCGCCGATATTTTTTTTCTCCGGTGTGAAAGGAGATCAGAATATTACATGTTTTGAGAGAAGATGAGAGAATTATGCTCTAATGAGTCTCATGCCCCCCAACTGTTGGTGGGGCTTACATTTTATAGTTACCTCTTAATAGATATTAAATAGGTAATCAAGCGATCATAACGGTTTGACAGTTTAATGGTCATAACGGATTTGAGTGATTTAACAATGATTAAATAGTTTGGTGACCCATCCTCTTCTCAACGGGGAGAAAGTTGTTACAATATTCTCCATGAACTCGGTTAAAGGATGAGGTGAGGGTTAACTTCTTTCAAAACGGCTTGGATAAGGCTTTTGGGATGACTCATACTCTAAGGTGGCTAGAATGAGCCTCCTTACTTCAAGGTGGCTAGGATGAGCCTCCTTATTCTAAGGTGGCTAGAATGAGCCTCCTTACTCCTTTGGCGAGCTTGACCGAGTTGACCACATTGGACTGGATTTATTGAATCTCTTGGAGTTAGGCTAAAACTTGGATCGGGCTTATAACATGGGTTAGGCCCTTGGGCTTGGCCCATCATTTGCCCTCCAATGCCCTAAATCTAACTGAATTTTATAAAGAAGGGCATTCAGTTTGAGTTTGAATTTTCAGTTGACCAGCCCAAATGAAAAAACTTCGAGAGGCCAAAATATCTGTTTCTAGGCTTTTTTTTGAACTTTTTACAACATCAATTACAGCCAAAGGCTCTGTATCTTGTAGATCTCATCGAGAGCTTCAATATGATATATAATAAGCCTTGTTTTGAGTAACGGAGCAAAAGTTACAGTCAAAACTTCGAGCAGAAAGCTCGGTGACCGATTTGGGCGAGCAGGCACCTTCTGGGCAAGCAGGGCACTATTCTGGGCGAGCAAAAAAAAAATTTTTTTTTTTTTTTTTTCAATTTGGGGAGGCCAAAACATTTTTTTTTGGACCTTTTTGGAATTTTTTTGAAAACCTTATTACTTTAGTAATAAGTTTTGTTTAGCTCGTCGAGAGTTTCGATTTTTATATATAATAGGCCCCGTTTGAAGTTATAGCCCTTTTTAAGTTTGAATTTTTTGAAAATTCCTTTTGATCGACGACCCTATTCCTTCTAGTAGACTCCTTTTATTTGTAGGACTCCATTGACTATATAAACTCCTTCTTTCAATTTCTTTTTAGATTTTTGAAGAAATCGTTGCTGTCCCCGGAGAAGAAGAGCAGTGAGCTAAGAGGAGTGGTTTTGGAGGAACGACCTGCTGTGCACGCGTCTGGAGTGTGTGAGGAGGAGGCATTGGGCGCCCAAGCAATGGCAACCCCAATCTTGGCGAGCAAGTCAGGCGAGAGAGGGAGGCGCGCAGGTGTATGGGCCTGCCTCGGGCGCCGCTAGTATTCAAGCTAAGCGCGCTGGGGCACGCGCTGTGGAGAGGCAAGCAGGCCAAGTGAGCGGGGCTGCTGTGGCGACGATCCATGTTTGGAGAGCAGGCTGTGCCTTGGCAGTCTTGGGCAAGCAGGATGGGTGCCTTGGTGGTCTTGTCAAATGGGAGTTCATGGAAGGCCCTCACGTAAGAGCTGGGTGCTGAGGATGCCAAGACCGAGATGGCGACCCATGCCGCATGAACTAAGATGAGGGGCACCGAAGTGGGGGTGCCATTGGCATAGGGCGCTGACTGTAAGGCGTTATGGTGTCAGATGAGATGCCTCGTGCATTGGGTGCTGATGAAGAGGCGCCCATGGAGTTGGACACCGTTGTAGAGGCCCTTATGGTGATGGGCGCCGCTGGAGAGGAGCCCATGGTACTTGGCGCCGTTGGTTAGCAATTTTGTTGATCACGATGGAGGCGTGCTGTTTGGAGGCAAACGCAAGTAGAGGTTGTTTACGCTAGGTGTTCAGCGCAGGGTGCTGTGACAACGAGGCAGCAGTGCCAGATAGACACAAAAGAATGAGGCCTGATTGTTGACATTCAATTTAATGTAGTCCCTCAGATTGCAGACGATCTGAGTTTCAAGAGCCTGGCTAAAGATGGCAAAAATAATGTTATTTCAAATATTAAAATATCTAACATATTTACCTAGATAAAGAGTTAGGCTCCTTACACAAGAGCAAAGACAGAGTTTGAGGATTATTCGTGAGAGAGCTACACTTTTTGAGACCGAACTTTTGGCGACCCATGAGAAAGTTCTTAAGCTTGAGGTATAAGCTGCTTGCTTGAGAGTAGAGCAGATGCCAAGCTTTTGGCGACTTGCGAGAGAGCCTCTCAGCTGGAGATAGTCTGTTTGCTTGAAAGCAGAGCAGAGGCAAAGTTTTTAGCAACCCGCGGAGAGCTGCTCAGCTGGAGATAGGCTGCTTGCTTGAGAGCAGGGCAGAGGCCAAGATTTTGACAACCCGCGGGAGAGCCACTCAGTTGGAAATAGGTTGCCTACTTGAGAGCAAGGGCAGAGGCCAATCTTTTGGCGACCCGCGGGAGAACCACTAAACTGGAGATAAGCTGCCTATTTGAGAACAGTGCAGAGGCCAAGCTTTTTGGCGACCCGCGAGAAAGCCGCTAAGCTTGAGATAGGTTGTCTGCTTCAAAGCAGGGCAGAGGCCAAGTTTTTTGTCAACCCATGAGAGAGCCGCTAAGCTGGAGATAGGTTGCCTATTTGGGAACAGTGCAAAGGCAGGTCAAGCTTTTGGCGATCCGCGAGATGATTCACCTCGCCTACACCTATTGATTTCCTCAGTATTCATATATTTTTGAGTTTTTGTCAATAGTTCTGGCATGCTCTTTAGTGATCTTTTATTATTGAAAAAAGGAAACTCGATGAACGGAGACCTCCTAGAAAGGCGGTCATGGTGACTTTGTCATTGGGCTCCTCGATTTGGAGGACCTCCTCGTTAAAACAAGTGAGGTAACTCTTTAGACTCTCATCTCGATCCTGTTTTATGTTGAGCAGATGAGTGGCAGGCTTCTGCTGGCGGCGTCCACAAATGAACTATGTCACAAAGGACCTACTCAGTTCGGCGAAAGAGCCTATAGAAGCTGGAGTGAGTTTGGCGAACCATTGTCTCCCTGATCCCTTCAAGGTAGTTGGGAATGCCCTACACATAATTTCGTCAAGGATGTTATGCAGCTGCATTAAGGTCTTAAAAGTTTCGAGGTGGTCTAGTGGATCCTTTGTACAGTCAAAGGTTTCAACGGATGGCATCTTGAATTTTTGAGGGAGTGGGTCGTTCGCAACGTCAAGTTTGAAAGGTGTGTCAGTTCAACTTACGAGAAAATCCACTGTCTCGGGTACTTGTGCCTTCATAGTGTTGAAGATGTCTCCCAATTGATTTTGCACCTCCTTAATTTTTTTTCCCAGTGATTAGGAGGAGGTCCTCTGGAATTATTATGGATATGGCTCTCATGCTTCATATTTTGATTTTCACCCTCGTCTTCTTGGAAAAGAGAGTCTTCACCATGAGGAGCAGGAGCAGGAATAAGGGCTGGAGGAAGAGGTCCCTCATGGTGGGCTACTCTGTGTGGGGCGCCCAAGGGGGCGCCTAGATGATGGGGAGCACCTAAGTGGGGAGCTCCTTGATGGACAGGGCGTGGAGCTCCTCTAACTTGAGGTCTAGGTTGTGCTCCTCCTTGTTGTCCGAGCATCAATTACAGAATCTGTTGGTTCTAGGCTATAAGTTATTGCATGGTCTCCAGCATCTGCTGCGCATTTGAGACTAGATTGGGCGGAGGAGCAACCTCTTCCTCTCGTAGTAGAATGTCTTCAGGCTGATTTATGGATCTGGTGGTGCTAGCCTTTGATTCAGCAAAGAAAATGTTTAGGTGAGAACTTTGTCGTTACCACAAACGGCGTCAAACTGATGATGCACAAATTATTTTTCACACCACCTGTCAATTAAGTAGTATAAAATGCAGTAAAATAAGTAGAGGGAAAGAGAAGATAAGGTTTATAGTGGTTCGGTCAACGTAACTTACGTCCACTTTGAATAGCAAGGGTCGCCGGTATTTTATATCTCCGGTGTGGAAGGAGATCAAAATATTACAAGCTTTGAGAGAAGATGAGAAAATTATGCTCTAATGTGTCTCATGCCCCCTAAGTGTTGGTGAGGCTTACATTTTATAGTCACCTCTTAATGGTTATTAAAATAGGTAATCAAGCAGTTATAACGGGTTGGAGTCATTTAATGGTCATAACGGATTGGAGTGATTTAACAATGATTAAATAGTTTGGCAACCCCTCCTCTTCTCAACGGGCGAGAAAAGCTGTTACAATATTCTCCATGGGACTCAATTAAAGGATGAGGTGAGGGTTAACTTCTTCCAGGACGGCTTGGATGAGGCTTTTGGGATGACCCTTACTCTAAGGTGGCTAAAATGAGCCTCCTTACTTTAAGGTGGCTAGGATGAGCCTCCTTACTCCAAGGTGGCTATGATGAACCTCCTTACTCCAAGGTGGCTAGGATGAGCCTCCTTACTCCAAGGTGGTTAAGATGAGCCTTCTTTCTCCCTTGGCGAGCTTGACCGAGTTGACCACATTGGACTAGATTTACTAATTCTCTTGGAGTTGGGCTAAAACTTGGACCGGGATTATAACATGGGTTGGACCCTTGGGCTTGGCCCATCAACGGTAAATGTGAATAAGAGATAAGGCCTCTCAGGTAATTTATATCCCCCTCACTGATAACCAACTGTCTCACGTTAAAATAATCAATAATCATTCCATCCCATCAAGATAACTTCCAGGAAATTGACTATTTTTAAAAACATGTTTCCTTGTGTCTAGAACTCCACTTCCACAAGGAAACTACCAACTAACCTAACCAACATGTGTTAGGTAATTTAATTAGGATATCCTTATCTCAAAATCCAAGTTTGTACTTTATTAATTAAAGTCCACATGTGGGTCCCATTAAATAGGTTCCAATATAATAATATAAACACTTTTAAGTAGATTAACAACAATACAATATAATAAAAAATTACCTTTAGGTACTCGACCCAAATGTCTTCATTTGGAATATCAAGTTTCTTCACATGATCATTCCACCTGATACCAGATGTGTTTACCAATGAAAACAATGTAATGTACTATACTGCTTCTTTCAAACCCTAATTTTAGATTCCATGTGTGGTGACAAACGAATGTCAATGCCTGGAACTGCTTTCTTTTAGGTTGGTCTCCAATGTTTGTAGATAGTCCAACCTAAACATGCAATTTTGATGCTTCCAGTCATTCACACACAAATCCTTTAGAGCGTTAATCAATTCGGCGTCCTTGGCAACACTCCATGTGCGCCTTGGCCCACGTTCACTTTGGCTACTCCAACCTATATTTCCAAAAGATAAAAAATTTTATGGATCCAAAGACATAGATATTACAATGAAGCTGAAAACCTCTAACGAAACATACATGATATGTTCACGAAGGTAACTTGCACAATATTGGGCAAAGACATCAACTTATACCATTAGCAAATGACCATGCACTAATGTACTAATCCAACCCATCCAGAGAAAAATGGATTGAGCCTAGCCACTGGAAAACAGAGCAAAGGATGAGCTCCTGGAACAGTGAAACCAGGTCCCTCTTCCATGTCCACACTTCCATTTCCTCCAGCGCTACCGACAGTGCAATCTTGTGTTAACTCCCTAACGATTAACGGGGCAGCAGGGTGAAGCCTTAATGTTTCCTTGACAATGGCTTGAGTCCCAAATCAGCCACTCACCCAAGAAATAAGTCTATGTAACATTCTCCAGATCTAATAGTGGCAGAGTCTATAAACTTAAAATTTTCAAAAATGATAGATTACAAGGATAAAGGCCTTGATGTTCTCTTTGGTGAGTCTCATCTCTGAGGTCTCATCTTCAAAAATGTCAAGTAAAATATCAAGCAAATCTTTCTTCCTCTGCCTCCTTGTCTCTTTATGTCCCTTATGATTGTCTCTGTCATCTCGTTGTAGCTGTCGCTAACAAGCCTGAGCTTTTTTTTTGAATTCCTGCAAATCTAAATTCTTACAGGACCATATAAACTCCGACAATTTAAACTTCCCCAAGAGTGCACCCAGCTCTTGAATCAGTGTCCTAATCTGACCAACCTCATCCTCATTCTCAGAACATCTTTTGCTCATTGTCATTCTAACTGAAAGTCAAATAAAAAAAAAGGATAACATAAGATAATCAAATGTACAAAATCATGGTGATTCCCTACAAAGGACATAGGTAACCCCAGTTTCTAATTTGCAAAGAACCATATCAAGGCTTTGTCAACTTAGAATTTCAAAGGAAGTAAGGGCCTTGAGCCCCTACTTCCAATCAAATCCTATATTGTATTGCCATAGCCTAAAATCAAAGGACCACTGCTAGGAGATGAATGAACAACATAGCAGTCTATAAAATAGGATAAAAAATTGTCTCAACCTATTGAACTTAAGCCACTACTAGGTAGCTGCCAAGCTTGGAGGAGTGACAAGTTTTGGGGGGAACTCTTGAATTTGAGTGTGACTAACCTATCTTTGATGATTTGCATGACACACTTCACGAGACTTCTACAATCTCTAAACTGGTTCGTATGGAGCCATCTATTCTTTTTCTTCCATATTATATACACAGTAGTTGCCAAGCACAACTTCTTTAACACCTTGTCAAGTGATTTATCTTTCCAACTTTGACTTGCATAATCTATGAAAGTTTGTCAAGAGCTCGGTAGGCCTTGTTCACCACATAGTTGCATAAGATAAAGCTAAACATCTTGTGAAAACTAACATCTAAAAAAGAGGTGACAGTGAGATTCCATGTCATGCCTACAGAGGATACATGTCACTTCAACATCCGGTGCAAATTTTTGCATCATATCTTTGGTGCTTAGCCTTTCCTTGATTACTAACCAAAGAATTAAGCTCGTCCTTGGCATGTATTGTCCATACCATAGCAAATGATGCCAAGATACCTCTTGCCCAGGGGACCTAAGATGATTCCAAGAAGAAACAGAAGAAAATTGCCCATTTGTTGCTATAGTCCACTTCACATGGTCTTCCTTATTTGACAAAGGAATATATGTAGGCAGATGATTTGAAATCTCCAAGAGATCTAGTGTACCTGTGAAAGGCCATGACCACCTGTTATTGCCAACAATTGCTACCACTTTAGCATCCTTAGGTAACCCTGCATGTTCAATAATATTATCACTCCATTTAAGTAGAAGAGGACCATGAGGGTGCCAATTATCCAACCAATGGCTAGTATTCTCTCTATTGCCAATAACATGTTGAATTAGAGGTCTAACCATTGGTCTCAGTTTCAAGAGGTTCAGCCAATTCTGAGAGCAAGAGTGAGGTGGCTTAACTTCCCAAATGCTTTTGCCTTTTAAATGGTAAAAATGGATCCATTTTGCCCAGAGGCTTTCTTTGTCAGTAAATAAAATCCACAAATATCACATCATCATTGCAAGATTCATCTCCTTAAGTCTTCTAACCCCCAATCTCCCTTCTTTATTAGGTCTGCAAATGTCCTCCTAGGCCATTTTGGCTCCAGTAGGCTTGAGTTCAGTCCCTTTACAAAGGAATGATCTAAGAATTCTTTCTAATTTATCACTCTTCCCCGCATTGATGATTTATTTGACCAATTAAGAGGTGCTAAAGTATTCTTGAAGATTGACCTTCGAACGGGTAACCACCAATTCAAGATAAAGGTGGAGGATGTGCCTAAGACAGCTTTTCGTACCCGTTATGGACACTATGAGTTTCTTCTGATGCCATTTAGGCTAACAAATGCACCAGAAGCCTTTATGGATCTCATGAATAGGGTGTTCAAGCAGTACTTGGATCAATTTGTAGTAGAATTTATTGATGATATTTTGGTGTACTCGAAGAGTCCTGAGGAACATGAGCAACATTTAAGAATTGTTCTACAGACTCTTCGGGATCGAAGGCTTTATGCCAAGCTCAAGAAATGTGAGTTTTGGCTTACTAGTGTATCATTTTTGGGACATGTGATTTCTGATGAAGGGGTGTCAATGGATCCTCAAAAGGTTGTAGCAGTTAAAGATTGACCTCGACCGACGAATGCTATAGTGGTATGTAGTTTATTGCATTTGGCAAGGTATTACAAAAAATTTGTCGAGGGTTTCTCCAAAATTGTCATTCCATTGACCCAGTTGACCCAGAAAAAGGTAGTTTTTCAATGGACTGATGAATGTGAAAATAGTTTCAATGACTTAAAGGAAAGGTTGGTGTCTGCTCCAATTCTTACTATTCCAACAGATAATGTTGGGTATGATATCTACTGTGATGCTTCGGGGAAAGGGTTGGGTTGTGTATTGATGCAACAAGGGAAGGTTATGGCTTATGCTTCTAGGCAGTTGAAATCTTATGAGCAGAATTACTCAACACAGGATTTAGAGTTGGCAGCTGTGGTATTTGCACTGAAGATATGGAGGCACTATTTGTATGGGGAGACATGTGAGATATATACAGATCATAAGAGTCTTAAGTATTTATTTACACAGAAAGAGCAAAGCATGAGACAACGAAGATGGCTAAAGGTAATCAAAGACTATGATGTGAATTTGCACTATCATCTAGGAAAAGCAAATGTGGTGGCAGATGCACTAAGTAAAAATTTTATAAGGAGTATGGCCTCATTGCTTACTCAGCAAAACAACTTGTGAGGGATCTTGAAGAGGCAAAGGTTGAGGTAGGGATACCTAAGACTAATGCTTTTGTAGCAAACTTACAAGGTCAGCCTACCTTGCTAGATCGAATAAAGGAAGCACAACGAAATGACCCAAATTTGGTGAAGATTCTAGAAGAAACAGAGCGAGGTGAGAAGACTGATTTTTGTGTGGTAGATGGAGTGTTGAGATTTGGAGATCAAGTATGCATACCTAATGACCCAGAGATCAAAAAAAAGTGATGGAGGAGGCCCATTACTCTCGTTTCACAGTTCATCTGGGAAGTACAAAGATGTATCAGGACTTGAAAGGAATATTTTGGTGGAATAATATGAAGAGGGAAGTGGTTGACTATATGTCTAGGTGTTTGACATGTCAAAAAGTGAAAGCAAAACACCAAAGGCCAAGGGGGATTATTGCAACCACTTCCTATCCCTGAGTGGAAGTGGGAGCACATTACCATGGATTTTGTGAGTGGGCTACCCAAAACCCGAGTGGACTTGATTCTATTTGGGTTGTGGTGTACAGATCGACAAAGTCCACACACTTTTTGCCTGTGAGGACTACTTATCCCTTGGAGAAATTTGCTAACTTTATGTAAAGGAGATTGTGAAATTACATAGGGCCCCAATGTCGATTGTTTCAGATAGAGATCCTCGATTTGTCTCAAAATTTTGGGGTAGTTTACAAAAGGATATGGACACTGAGTTGAGATTTAGTACAGCTTACCACCCTCAAATAGATGGATAGTCGGAGAGAGTTATTCAGATATTGGAAGACATGATTCGTACTTGTATGCTTGACTTAAAGGGTTCTTAGGAAGAACATTTACCACTAGTTGAGTTTGCTTATAATAACAACTTTCAAGCTAGCATTGGCATGGCACCGTTTGATGCTTTATATGGTCAAAAATGTAGATCTCCAATTTGTTGGGCTGAAGTCGGGGAAAGAAAGATATATGGGTCAAAGATAGTACAAGAGACCACGAATAAAGTACAGGTGATTCAGGAAAGACTTTGGGTTGCTCAAAGTAGACAAAAAAGTTATGCGGACAATCGGATGAGAGACTTAGAATTTCAGGAGGGCAATCATGTATTCCTAAAGGTGTCACCTTGGAAAAGGATTATGAGATTTGGTAAAAAAAAAAAAAGGGAAGTTGAGTCCAAGGTATATTGGACCTTTTGAGATTCTAGGAAGAGTTGGTGTAGTGGCTTATAGGTTAGCCTTATCACCGGAATTAGCTAGTATCCACAATGTATTTCATATATCAATGCTTAGGAAGTACATGTCAGATCCATCACATGTGATTGAGGTTGAGCCGCTACTAATGT